CCTCTGTACAGTATTTTCACAATAAAAATAAATAAATTTAAATTTTAAAATTTAAAAAAATGTTAAGTAAGTTGCTGGGTGCTGGTAGCTCATGCCTGTAATTTGAGCTACTCAGGAGACTGAGATCTGAGAATCACTGTTGAATCCAGGAAATTCTGTAAGACTCTTAGCTCCAATTAACCAGCAATCAGCTGGAAATGGAGGTGTGACCCACGTGGTAGAGTGCCAGTGTGGGGCAAAAAAGTCAACTGAGAGAGCAAAACCCTGAGTTCCAACCTCATATCAGTATGCACAAAAAGTTCTAAGAATATACACAAGTCCACAAGTATATGTGTATATGTGTCTGAGCATATTTGTGTGTGACAGGCATGTGTACGCCTGAATGTGTGTGTAATTGTATGTGCATGTCTGAATATGAGTGTGTGTGTGTGTGTGTACAGATATACATCAGTTCAGGAAATGTTTTCAACATCATGCTCTGCCCAGAAGCCTCAAAACCAGTATCAGTAGGGCCCAGCTACTTGCCTTGCTATATCTGACCACAGAGGTTTCTCTTTAAGAAAAAAATACAAAGCCTTGACCCCAGTATTCAGGCTAGCTCTGACCTATCAGGAAATGTTGGTGCAGCTGATAAAACACAATAGTGGACACAGTCAGACTTACCATGGCATCTTGACAAGGATTAAAAAGTGATAAGAACCAAGTACATTTGTGTTAGGGCAGAGTTCTGAAGTGGATGGACTCAGATGCCAGGTACACCAAGCTTTGAATCTCCCTCAACTAGTGCCTCGGATCTTGGTTAACTTGATTCACTTCATTTTCTTTATTTGTGAAATGGAGATAATGCTTCCTCTCGTGATTGTTGTACAGATTAAATACAAGAAACTTGTATGCTGTGTAGCAAAGCTCTTGGCATTTGTAGTCAGCTCCAGCTGACTTCACAAGTTGGCTTCAATAAGCTCTGTTAGTATGAAGGGGAAGTTTGGCAAGGGGTAAAGGCATGAAGGTGGGACCAGACAAACATGGCAAGAACACAATTGTGACAACTCCTCACTGTGATCCCTGGGCTTCCTCTTGGTGTCAATTTCCTCATCTGTAAGATGGGAATAATATGATGCAAATCCCCTAGGTTGTTATGAACATTAACTGCGTTCTAATCTGCAAAGAAATTAAACAGAAGGTAGCAGACATAGAGCTTGCTCTAAAACTTCAGCAATCTCCCAAACTAAAGGCAGTATATAAGAAGTGTCCTTAAAACAGCCCAGATGCCCTACAATGGATGTGTGGATCAAGAAAACGTGATATATAGCACATAAAAACAGGTATATAAATATATTAAATACAATGTATATCTATAAATTCTACATAATGATATCTATTTATATAATTTAAGCATATTATATATGCATACATATAGTGGAATTTTACTCATCCATCAGGAAGAAAAATATTATGTCATTTGCATGGAAATAGACCTAGAAAAAATATGTTAAGTGAAATAAGCCAGACTTAGACAAAGGGCCCATGTTTTTTTCTCTCATATGTAAAGTTAGCTATAACTTATAAACATATATGAAAACATACACATGGTCATACACACACACACATAGATATGTTTGAAGTGTTGTATAGTTTGTTGTGACTCATAAACTTATCACTAAGGTCTTACAGTGTTGTTTGGACGATGAGCCGGGAGCGGGGAAGCTCTTAGACCAGCGGAATTGTTCGTGTGTCCGCGCAGGGGGCAGAATCCTACCAAAGGCAGGCACTCTTACACGGGAAGTGGATCACTTTGAGGAAAAATGGCTTCCATAAAGGACCTAAAGGAAGCATTCCACCCAGCGTGATTGCAGCCATGGTCGAATCGATTCATGGCCCCCATCCTCACCCCCAATCCAAACCCTCTGCCCAGGCCAGCCTGTAGGCTGCGCTGGGTGGATTTTGTGGTGCAGCTCCAGCCTGCAGTCCTGGCACAGGGTGACTCATGCGCCCAGGTCCCCAGCTTGGCCTGTCAGCCTTCCTAGCGCCTCAGAGGTAGCCATGGCAACCGTGTAGTCCCCTATTTCTCCCTTAGAGCCCCAGTTGAGAGGTCCAGAGCATGGCAGTGGCAGGGCAGAGTGGTCTCTGCCCTTCTCAGAGAGGGTGGCGCGATTGTGGGCTAGATTACAGGGGAAGGATACAATAGTGTAACTCTTTTAACAACTAACTTACAGTTTAACAAGATGAATGCTAGGAAGCTAGAACATAGGCTGTAAGGGGAGTGAGGTCACGGGAAGGCAAAGGCAGACCAATGAAGAAAGAAAGGGTGGATGAATGCAGTCATTATATCCAACATACATATGTGAAAATGGAACCAGGTCGCCTGAGGGAATGGTAGGGGTGGAAGAAATGGGGAGAATGATGGAAGGGATGGCATTGTACTAAGTTGACATGTTGATTTGAAATACTTTCGTACAACTACTTATAATAATAATAACTGTTAGCATTATTATTATAAAGTCTCCTTACTGTACCTAGTAATGACCTTATTTCAACAGCTATTTATAGAGTGCTTGCTATTCACAAGTACTAACTAAGCTGTTAGGAATCATGGACACTTTTCCAAACTCAACTCTAAAACAAATTGTGGTGGATGATGCCAGCTAATTTGTATGTTTACCTCTTGCTAAATGTCAAGTGCCCAAAAATGGTAAGAAGGGCTGGGAATGTGGCTTAGTGGTAGAGTGCTTGCCTAGCATATATGAAGCCCTGAGTTCAATTCCTCAGTGCCACATAAACAGAAAAGGCCAGAAATGGTGCAGTGGTTCAAGTGGTAGAGTGCTAGCCTTGAGCAAAAGAAACTCAGGGAAGCCAGGCACTGGTGGCTCTCTCTTGTAATCCTAGTTACTCAGGAGGCTGAGATCTGAGAATCACAGTTCAAAGCCAGCCTGGGCAGGAAAGTCCGTGAGACTCTTATCTCCAATAAACCACTAGAAAACTGGAAGTGGTGCTGTAGTTCAAGCAGTAGAGCACTTGTCTTGAGCTGAAGAGCTGAGGGATAGCGCCCAGGCCCAGAGTTCAAGCCCCACGACTGACAAAAAAAAAAAAATAAGAAGAAGCAGCAGCAGCTCAAGGGCAGCGCCCAGGTCCCGAGTTCAACCCCCAGGACTGGCAAAAATGGTAAAGAGGATAATTAGGGGAATGGATCAAAGGCCGGGCCTTAGTTGGTGCTCAAAGGACAACTAAGAATGAGAGAGCTCTAAAGTAAAGAGAGCTCTAGGCTATAGGGCCAAGGAGGTGAGACAAAGCTCAGAAGAATGATCTTCCTCCCACAGACCACCCAGGGACCAGGATGGCTGGAGCAAAGGAGAAATCTCTTTCTTTTTTTTTGGTCGGCTGTGGGGCTTGAACTCTGGGCTTGGGCGCTGTCCCTGCACTTTTCAGCTCAAGATGAGCGCTCTACCACTTGAGCCACAGTGCCACTTCTGGTTTTCTGGTGCTTAATTGGAGATAAGAGTCTCAAAGGTTTTCTTCCCAGGCTGGCTTTGAACCACAATCCTCAGATCTCAGCCTCCTGAGTAGCTAGGATTACAGGCGTGAGCCACCGGCTCCTGGCTAGAAATCTCTTTCGAAAAGGACGTTAAGGCCAGCTTGAGAAAAGCCCTTTGTGATTGTATAAATGTCTATGTTGTAAGTAGTGGCCAGTCAAGCAATTTATTGCTTGTTTTTAACATTAATGTTGATTAAAATATTGTCCATCTATTTAACAAGTTATCAGGGAAATTAAACAGGCCTAGCTGTATACTTAAGATATCAGGATCCCTGAATTTAGGTCTTTGGCACATATTCACTGTGAGAATTACCAATTCTGATAGACCAAAGGTTGAAAACCACTGCTGAGGAGCCTAGAATACTATGAGGGCCTTTGATGCAGAGGAGTCAGAGGAAAGGAAACTAGGGTTTCTTGAGTACACCCATGCCAGATGATACATAGGTAAAGTTTCATTTATTCCTAACAACAATGTCCTTGTTTTCATGTTAGCAACAAAGTTTAGATCTGGAATGTTCTCCAAAGACCTATCATGTGTCAGTCTTGTTCTCCAGTGTGGCTCTATTGGGAGATGATGGAAGCATACAAGATAGGGTTAAGGAAGTGACACTGTGGTTCAAGTGGTAGAGTGCTCCCCTTGGGCTGAAGAGCTGAGGGGCAGTGCCCAGGCCCAGAGTTCAAACCCCACAATCAACAAAATAAAAAAGGTTAAGTTCGAATGAAGTCTTCCAGTCAATAGAACATCCCTTGAAGAGCCTTTTCCTTTTCCTTTCTCTGCCACATCTTGGCCATGCAATGGCAGATTTTTCTCTGCCACATGCTCCTTGCTATTATGTGCTACCTCATCCTAGGCCCCAAACTAAAGAGGCTCATGTGCATGGATTAAGACCGCTAAAACTGTGAGTCAAAATAGACCTTTTCTCTCTATAAATTGGCTGTCTCGAGCATTTGTTACAGCAACAGAAAGCTGACTAAGACTGAAGCTGATACTCAGTGACATTGCAAATTTAGGAGGTCACAAACACAGGATGTGAACCCAGATCCCAGACTTCGGGACCGCTGCACCTGCCACCATATCACAAGTCCTTCCCACAAACACTTATGTGTGCTCTCTCCTTGAACTCACCGCCGCTCAGAATAAGAATAGTGCACCCATGGTTTTATAAATGCTGGGCTTTCTCCACCCCTTTCCCTTTCTCTCTAATGATGACATCCAAATTTTCACTTCCCTTTGTTCTGAAAATGGGCCAAAAACAAAGATGATCATTTCACACTGTTTATTTTCTTAAGCAACTTTTGACTTAAAAAAAAAACCGACTTCCTCATACCTTCCTCCTTCCACTGCACTTTACAACTTTTTATAACATCTCCACCCCCCACACACAGTTTTGAAACATTTTGTCTAAAGCAGAAGACAAAATAAACCTGAAATATTTAACAATTACATTCGTGATTTCCTTTTTACCCTAAGGATGAAGAGGGTATACATCAGGCTGCACACAAAATCCAAAAGAAATAATGAAACCGGAGCCTTGTTTATCTCTTTAATGTTGAACAACCAGCATTGAGAGGCAGTTGTTGTCATCAACTAAGCAAGTTCCTCATTTGACGTGTGAAAGCCATTCCTGTGGTAGAATTTAACCATTACTGTGTGTATGTCTCCAGATTTCCATAAGAGAAATGTACCTTCTTCAGGTCAGTACTGTATTCAATACTTGTAATACTTGTGTGTAAAGTTCTCAACTAACACATCTCCTTCTGTATTAGCCTCCAAAGCATGGTAGATTTCTTTTTTCAGATTGAATATTTTTCTGATTTATCAGCCACATGGTGGAAGGGGACATTTACACCCTGATGCCTCTACAATCAATCATTAAACAATCTGTTTTCCTCCCACTCGAAGTTGGAGCCCTCAGTAAAAGCTAACCACTCTTTCCAGCCTCACATGCTCTTCAGATAGAATGGACAGTTTTGTCTCTCCTTCATCCACATCCCCGAGGGAAATGTCTGTCACATTGTGACTCAGACTCATTGTGGATTAGCCTGTAACTATGCCTGTTAGAGCCTGAGTTTGATTTCTAAACCAAAAAAAGGTCAAGTAAAGCATCTATGTCTAAAAGTCAGTTTGCCATCAGAGACCTTCTTCCCAACCAATTGTCCAAGCTAGAAAGCCTTAATGATGCCTTGGATGTTCACCAGGCTCGGGATACAAATGTACAATTGTGTGATGCAATCCCCAGGGACAACAATCTTCTTGATTGCAATGGAGTTAACCAGTACACAGTCTGCTCAATCATTAGAGCCCGTCAGTAGGAGTCTTTATTTCCTTCAGTGTAAATAGTTTACTGTATCCTTAACATCCTCATCTGAACACTGTAATCAAGGTGATATATGTTTTTTAAAAAATCACAAAAGAAAAACAGATACAAGAGATATAAGATACAACAGATACAAGAGAAAGATACAAGGTATCCTTATATTTTCCTATTTCCTAAACCTTGTTTTGACTTTCAGTACATTTTTATTATTCCTTAGAATAGAGATTGACTGTTTAAAGAAAATTACAGTCATTGAAATGATATGAGAGATGAAAGATACCATTATTATACTCAGTAGATGAAAGATAGCTGTAGAAAAGGAGTCATTAGTGAGAGGCAAAATAGAGTCATTACACCAAAAAAGACACTAAAAACTAAGTTATATTTATTTTCAAACACAGATTGACTCCATATTAATAAATACTTTTAACACTGAATGTAGAAAACTAGTGTGCATATTTCATGAAGATGATGAACTAAAGAATCAAAGGAAAAGGTGCTCCTTTACCTCTGGCCATTGATAAAAAAAACAACAACAACTTAGAATAGCAACTGGCTCATTAATAATACAGAAGAACTGAGGGAACTCAAGAATAAAAGCTAATAAAACCAGGAATGGGTTCTCCTCCATTTTTTTTCTTGCTGAGGCCGTAAAATCAATGAGTTTGAAAACTGTGACTTTGCACATATATCTGGTTCTGTGAATATGTTCTGAATTTTTGATAGGAATCGCTAGTTATCATGTTGAAAAATTACACCCATGTTACCATTTTGATCTAGGTCAGATTACTCTAGCTAATAACCAGGCCAAGAAACCCTCAATGCCCAAGCTACAACTGCTGCTTAAGGCTTGAGCAAAGCACAGAATTGTGAACCAGGGCACTGAAGTTGCTGCACCAAGTTGGTGGCTGCCACCACCAGATTTGTGTAGATCTGAGGCCGTTCACTGCTGACATGGTATAAAGCCAGCATCCACCAGCAGCCCTGTATTCTTGTCTTCCACATGGCAGCTGGAGGACACATAGACAGGCAGCTGCCCAGGCCCTTCATGTATGCAGAAACCCATGTGGTTTCTGCAAAGCTCATGAGAAACTTGCTCCCATCCTAAGTATGTTAAATGGTGGAGAAATATTTCAGAAAGGAACAACAGAGGCTCCTCACAGATTCAACTCCAGAAGGAGTGAAAAGGTCTAGGTAGCTTCCAAGCCTGAAAATGGCCCTCAGTGATGCCTATCTTCCTCAAGTCTTTTCTTAAAGACATTGAATCCCAAGGCTGTAAAAAGTCATAGGAGACTTAAGGCTGAAAGCCATAAGCTCTCTCTGCTCCCAAAGTGTCTGGATAGGTAGGGGAGGAAAAAAAGTGCATCTCATCCCATCATCTCATGGCCAAGAGCAAGTTTAAGGTGGCTTGAAAGGGTTTTGTCTGAGTGCTCTGGAGACAATTGACAGCAGTTCCAAGGGAAGGGGCTGTCTCTGGTTCTGAGCTAGCTGAAGGCCCAAGCTTTACTGAGGAAGGGCACAGCAAGACAATTAGAGACCCAGGGCATTTTTATGCTTGTTTGTTGTTCTTTGTCTTTTTGGTTTTTAGTTTTTAAGCTATGGAGGACCTCAGAGATCTCTGAGTTCTCTTTCAGAAGTCTGAAAAGGTTAAGTGGCCTACTCAAGTCACATAGCTCGTTAATAAAGCTTGGGGACATGGGGTGGGGGCAGAGTGGCTGTTGTGAGCGAGGCGGTGCAGGTAAATATCATGTGGCACACAGTTAAATTTGGGCAAAAACTTCCCTCCCCTAGGCTCTTTCCAGTTGAATTGTCTCCGAAGGGGATAGGTCCTGGACTGGAGCGAATTTGTGGACTTTTCTCAGGAAGGGCTGAGGACCTGCAGGTGTATTCTCACTTCCCAGTCCTCGAGGCTGCCTGGATGGCTTTGATCCACTCAGTGCGCTCTTTGGGGGTGGCTGCTTGCAAGAAGTAATGGACTTCATCAGCTGTGATGATCTCGAAAAGGTTCTCCTCATCACTCTTCTTGCCTGGGGAAAAAGAAAGCAAATGGCAATGCCAAGAGCACCATGAGTGACCTACCAGGCCTCCTTGGCCCATCCAGCTTCTGCAAGCCATGAACTGTCTGGGTTTTTCTTGATGTCTCAGGAAAAGGTGTGGTTTTCAAACATACAATCATTGTGCAATTATGGATATTGATTGTATAAATACATACATGATGTTCATACAGGAAGGTCCATGGAATGATCATATGTGTTTATTTTACTAATTTCTTAAAAATAAGTAAAATATTCAAGGAGAAATATTTTCTTTCTGCTCTAGGTGGCTTCAGAGCCTGAGAAAGACTATCCATGACTCTTGGCTTCCTTAAGTCTTTTCAAAAGACAGCTTTTGTGAAATGTTTTATTTTTAAACCTAGTTTATTATAACAAGTAGATATTTCATAGTTTATAATAAATAAATTCAGCTTCTCTCCTTTGTATTTAATATCTTCTGGAGGGGTTGTTGATTTTTATTATCTCCATTTGCTTTTCAGACACAAGATTTTACTATGTACAGCAGGCTGACCTTGAATTCTCCATCCTCTGGCCTTTGCGTCCTGAGTGTTTATATTATGGCCATAACTACCATACCCAGTTTCAATGAGTAACTTCCAATAATTTTAACACATCCTTTTCTCCTGCTTATAACATAAACCAAGGCTGACCTTAAGACATATATTATGTATATTTTCATATGTATGTATATATTCACCTACACACATAAGAAAAATGAGATTTACCACCAAACTGTAACTGTAGTCTGAATTGGGTGTTTGTCAAGAGCTAAATTCAACATTTACTGAGCAATAAAAAGGAAATAAACTGACCCATACTATGAAAAAGGAAATCAATTGGCCAGTGCTGTGACAAAACTTATAATATCATCCCAAATCAAAATGCAGCACACTTCCTATACAAATGCATCATCCCAAAGACAAGTTGTGAGCAGACCCAGGGCTGTTGAAAATCTGGGCATTTGCACCTTGTGGTGTTCTCCTATCTCTATAACCCCATAAACCCCAAATGACAAAAGTAAACCCAGGAGTGGACTATCAAAACGGTATTTCCCAGTGGCTCCAAGTGTCTACATATCTGAAGGATCATCTCTACAGTCATCTGGTTATTCCTTGTGTCAATCATAGGCTTGTAACCCAAAAGGCTCAGAAGTCATCTAATGTGGTCCCTTTTTTCCCAGAGGAGGATCTACCCAAGAGGCATGGGGGCTGACAGGACCTAACCACACCCAGAAGTTCTTTCTACTCAGGGTACTGTGCACTTGCTCTTTGCCCTGGAATGAATAAGTGAAATCTCCTTTAAGGAATGTCATGTTGTCAGGAGCTACTAAGCTCTCATCAAAACCAGTAATGAAGTGATAGATTCTCCCAGCTTAGCCCAGGGCATTCATCAAGTCATCTGCAAAGCTACTCCAATTCCACAAGGCCTGAAGGGAAGAGGCAGCTATTGAAAAAGAACAACTCCATCCCTCCAAGGTTTACAGACTATGAAGTCACAGGTGCTTATGCCTGACTGATTTATTAATTGATTAGTTGCTTGCTTGGTTGGTTGGTTGGTTAGTTAGTTGGTGCCCTGGGGTACACAGGTATGGGAAGGGAATTGCCACACCTTTCCCACAGAAGTTCATTCTTACCATCTGGGCTGCTCTCCACAGATGTCACTACACAGCCTCTCAGGTGAACTGCTCCCAGAGGGTCTTCCCCCTAAAAGAGAAAGAGGTGGTCTATTATTTTATCAAAGTACCCCATCCTGTTGGCAACACTGCTACACAGACTCTCTCCTAGAGGTTCCTAAAATAAAAGCACAAATATAAAGGAAACCCTTCCAGATTCTCCACCTTCCACCTCAATGGGCCCAGGGAGGCTACGTAAAAGAAGCGAGCCAATCTGGGCCTCAAATATGGAGCAAAGTGGCAGAGGATATAGGCAGACTGAGGATGCCATGTCCTGCTGAGGAAGAACTGTCTAAGTATTATGAGCAGACAAAGTATTATAGCCTCTCAGGAGCAAAGTGAAGAGTCCTGCACTACAAGCGGAGGCTAGGACCCAGCCCTGGCAGAGCGATTTCATGACTCAGCTGATTTCTTTTGCTGAGGATAAACCTCCAACAACCATTAGCCCAAATTTCTGGATTTCATTCACTCATCCAACTTGATCTGATAGAATTGTCACTTTTTTAATGTTAAACCATGAATTGGGACTGATTGACTATTTTGAAAATATCAGATAGGGGAAGACCCAAAAATTGTGTTGTGTTAACAGAATACATTTTATAATGCGGTATTTTCTTCTGTCTCTGAGCTTCTATGGTCTCAAAACCCCAAGAATTTCAATCTTTGTGTGGAGAGAGGTGGGTAGGGAAAGGGAAAGGAGGATGGAGAGAAAAGAAGCAGGTAGGTGAAGAAATGGAAATCTCATTGAGGGGGCTGGGAAACCCTGCTCGTACTTGCAGTGGAAGCTTCTGTTTGAATGGATTTCTGGACCGTGGAATCTTACCCCAGCAGGGTCATAATAGTGCAGGTAGGCTGGGTCTTCTCTCAGAATGAACTTCCTCACCTTCCAGTTTTTCCTCCTGTGCCCCTGCATCCAAGTGCAATACACAAAAAGAAATGGTCAGTTTCCTGCCTCACTCTGTCCACACTGTGCCCAGGTGAACTGCTCCCAGAGACCCTCCCCCACAAAAGAGAAATAGATGAGGAGGAGCACCAGTAGGACCATGACAATGAAGACGATGATAATGAAGACGATCATGACGATGATGACGAGGAGGAGGAGGAGGAAGGAGGAGGAGGAGGGAGAAGAAGAAGGAGGAGGAGGGAGAAGAAGGAGGAGGAGGAGGAGGAAGGGGAAGGGAAGAAGGAAAAGGAGAAGGAGGAGGAGGGGGGAAGGGGAGAAGAAGGAGAAGGAGGAGGGGAAGGGAAAGGAAGGAAGGAAGGAGGGAAGGAAGGAAGGAAGGAAGGAAGGAAGGAAGGAAGGAAGGAAGGAAGGAAGGAAGGAAGGAAGGAAGGAAGGAAGGAAGGAAGGAGGGAGGGAGGGAAGGAGGGAGGGAGGGAAGGAAGGAAGGAAGGAGAGGAGGAGGAACAGGAAGAAGAAGAAGAAGAAGAAGGAGGAGGAGGAGGAAGGGAGGAGGGGGAGGAGGGGGAGGAAGAGAACAACAAGGAGGAAACAAGATGGAAATAGAGAAAAACTGACTCCAGGAAGACCAGACCCTGACCCAGATCTTTCTCAGGGAGCTAGCAGTGAGGCCAACCAGTGCTAAATTGGAGGTTGTTAATTTATATGGATGACTTCAAATTATTTTTAAGCTTGTCTTTTAGTGCTAGCAAAACAGTGCTATGTACTATGTGTTATGTTAGGCAACACAAAGCAGACAAAGTGTTATAAGATGTGGTTAATGGCTTATGTGGAAAACAAAATAGCAAAGCCCAAATCAAACAGTCATTACACATAACAGATTTCAAAGGAAGTAGAGTGGTATGTAATGTAGGCTTGGGTTGTCAAAGCCTCCTGAGGACCTAGACTTCTGTGGGAAGGCCAAGGTGGAAATTCACAGGCACAAACAGACGGTGATGAACAAGACCAGTCTTCCTGGAATGCAGAGTGAACAGGGAGCAAATAGGCCTGAGTAAAAATAAAAGCTGGGGGGGGTGTGCATGATGGCTTTTGAGTAAGAAGTGAGACCACAATGGCATTTTAGGAAAATTAATTTGGTGACAAGATGGAGAAGGTTCCAGCTGTGTAGACGATTTTATATATGTAGATATATAGATATACATATTTGCATGTCATTAGGGATATTGCAATAATCTAAACATAACATTATTAGGAACTCACTTTAGGTATCATCAGTAGAAATGGAAATGAATTTGGCTATAACAGACACAATGAATATAGAACAGGGTTTGGAGTTTCTTGGTAGAATTAAGCATTAACATCAACTAGTCTGAGTTAGAAGGGCAGGATTTGTCTGACATTTCTGTTCTCCAGTGCCCAGCACAGTGCCTGGCACACAGAAAGAATCTGATTCCTATTTGTTTATAATTGCCACTAATTATGTAATTGTTTCAGCTATCTTACAAAAAAGTTTTATTTTATTTTATTATTTCTTGTTTTGTTTTTGTTTTTCAGACAGAGTGGCTATGAATCCTGGGCAGGCCTGAAATGTGCTATATACAATCTGGGTCAGGTCTTGAGCCTATCTGCCTCTCCTCCTGAGAACTGAGATTGTAATTGTGTGCCACCATGTTCAGTTCACAGCAGCATTGAAAGTGCCATGATGAGCCTTGATTTCCCACATATAATTCAAATCATTTAACTAACTTCCAAAGGCAAAAAAGTACTAGATTAGAAGATAAAATTATTTCTATCTTGCCAATATAAAGAAGACGATTGTGTAATTTTCAGAACACCACATATTGGAAAAGAAAATAGCTATTTTTTTTGACATTTTTCATTTTCTTATGTGTGGCGGGGGGAAAAGAGAGAATGACTTCTGGTTCTAGCAAACAGGGTCATCAATCCAGGGCCAAGAAATTTCAAGAGAGCTTTTAAGAATGAGCAAGCATTTGGTCCAACAACACAATTGAATAAATAAATAAATCACAATGTTTTTACTTGCCTGAATGACATAATCAAGAACCCTAGAAAGTTACATGGAAGGTCAGAAAATATTTCTCTTGGCTATATCATCTCCAAAATGCCTTTTGCAATGTAGCAGCTTCTCGAAGTGGGGATTTTTCTACTTTTTCTACTTAACTAATCTTGCCCATAAGGTTACCAGCACTGAGGTGGCCACCCACACCCTTTCCTCTTTGCAGACACAGCTGTCATGCTCTCTTGAGCAATTGCTGGGTGGCCACCAAGTGATCACGAGTGGCAGGAAAAGGAAGGTAACAAGAAAGATACAAAATCAGCCATCTCTGGCAGCTACTGAGTTCCCTAGAAGCACTGCCAGACATTGCAGTGTGGCTCACTGAAGGGTTTGACGCCAGTGGGTGTCTGGTCACCTTTCATTCAAGGAGTATTCCCTAAAGGATTTTGGAAAAAAAAATATATGCATGCCTGGGATTTCCAAGAACCGTTGCTGTGTTGTCCAAGTCATTACTTAGATTCAATATCATGCATTTCACAAGTGTTTACTGCCTGTCACCCACCAAGAAAAGTGCTCAACTCTGCACCAGGCTCAAGAAAAGCTTATGTAACTAACACAGGGCCCTTCTCCCCGCAAGGAATATTTGTGCTTAGGAATCAAACACTAGCCATTTTAGTATAGCAGAAGCAATTATATAAAACTGGGTTCTGCTATTCTACAGCTTGTTTCATTTCCCAGGTGGGGTTGTTTCTCTGATTCTACTAGAAATAATGGAAGGGAGGGGGGACAGTTCCTTTTTTTTTGTCAGTCATGGGGCTTGACCTTCGGGCCTCTGCACTATGCCTGAGCCTTTTCACTCAAGGCTAGCACTCTAGCAATCTATCACTTTGAGCCACAGTTCCACTTCCAGTTTTCTGGGGGTCAGTTGTACTTCCCTGCCCAGGCAGGCTTCAAACTGCAATCCTCAGATATCAGCTTCCTAAGTACCTAGGATTGCAGGTTTGAGACACTGGTGCCCAATTGGGGACAGCTCTTTGCTGGACACAGTGACTTGACATTTATGGAGAATGTGACACAGGTGCCCTTTGTCATGATTCTTCTACACAGGTAACCCCTGGCTGGCTCCCAGCAAAATCTAGAAGGGTAATTTACTCTAGGTAAAATTTAAAGAGAAATTTTGAATTCCTTCAAGTGATTCTGACAGGAACTGTGATTAACTAAGAGATTCGAAACATGAAATATGAATTCAAGTAATTTGAATTCAAATCTCCACCAACTAATAATCATAATAATGATACTAGAAAGTGAACATGTAAAAAGAGGACCAAACCCCTAAATTTACACAGTTCATGTTTTCTTTAGGTAAAAGAAAGTTTATGAAGAAGGCATTTCATTAGCTTTTTTTTTTTTGTCAGTCATGAGGCTTGAACTCTGGGCTTGGGTGCTGTCCCTGAGCTCTTCAGCTCAAGGCCAATGCTCTACCGCTTGAGCCACAGCGCCATTTCCTACATTAGCTTTTAAGCAAAAAGGTGCTTCTTAGCTTCTTAGTCAGTGCTTCTTAGCTTAGCCTGCCTGCACGTGGAAATCACTTATGAGCTTTAAAAAAAAAAACTAGAGAAGGGGCTGGGAAGGTGGCTCAGTGGTAGGATGCTTGCCTTGCATGCATGAGGCTCTGGGTTCAATTCCTCAGTACCACATACACAGAAAAAAAAAATCCAGAGTCTCTAATTGCCTAACCGTTCTCCGGGGAATTCAATGTACACTACCTGGGCTGGCTAAGGTAACTGGTATCTATCTCAGCTTTGGTGAAGGAAAGCAAAGGAAAACACCAAGTGCCATTTGCTTCAGGTCCCCTTATCTCCAACACACACTCAGGTTCCCTTCCTTCATCCAGGTTTCACCATCCCAGGCCTCCTACTGTGTGTTTTCCCCAGACAAAGCTATAGTCGAGTCTAGCTCAGTTTTTAAGAGCTCTTCTCAAAGTTAGGGCAGAGGAATATAGCCCTGTGGTAGAGTACTAGCTTAGCGTGAAGGAGGCCCTAGATTCAAGCCCCACCACACATACACACACACACACACACACACACACACACACACACACACAGATTAGAAGTTGTCCAACTAATTTAAGAAATGGTAGCAATATATAGAAGGAATCAATATAATAAGATGATGCAATTCCTTCCCATGTTTCTCTTGTCTTTACACCCTAACCTTAGCAGAAACAAAGAGAAAGAAGATAGACCTTCCTTGTGTAAGGGGACCTTTTTGGTAGCCCTGACCCCTGTGCCTTTCCTTTACTGTAGACAGCTGGTTACTCTGTCACAAACACTAGAGTTCTTTCTAAAGCTTTCTCTGTCTGTCTTAGGACTCTCTTCTCTTAAAACTTGATACTAAACCCTGCACAGTGACTGACACCTGTAATCCTCGCTACTTGGGAGGAATAGATTGGGAGGATCATAGTTCCACAGGCCACTGAGATAAGAAGCAAGTTAAATCCCAGTCCATGAAACCTACAAAGTGTACACAGCACTTCACAGCTGGGAAGGCAAGAGGCCGAGCCTCTGAAACAACCTCAGCTTCCATGACGCTCTGTGCGACTTATCTTACCTGGAATATTCTCCTGTCTTCTTGCTCTGGCTTTCCCATCTGTTGCCAGCCCTTGTCATTTCTCACCCCTTGCCCATGTGTCCTGGCACCAGGGAACCAACTAGAGCTCTTCATTTTCCCCCACACCTTATCCCCCGGACTGACTGGTCATACCTGTGAACACTGGGAAATTACACACCGCTTCCCCTAGGACTGTGTCTAATATCTTCAGCTTGGGTTTGACCTTTGCTTTTGGTTCCTATGGAGGCATGCCCTGGTTTGGGTTGTCAACCAGGCCTTACCCCAGAGTCTGGAATGGCGCCTCTTTGATTGCAAAGGTAAAAGAGGTTCTCCTGTGCCTGTGTCCAGTTCCTGCCCCCGATGGTGTTGAGGACAAGCAAAAGGGCAGTACTTTGCCATGAAATTTCTTTGTCTTCTGGATGGCCCCCTCTTAATTAATTTATTTCATCCTGTTCGTGAATAGGGCAATACTTTCTTAAAACATCATTTTCTCCTATGATATTGATATTGATACAAGAGATACTTCCCTGCTCCTGCTTCTGCTCTGTCTGCTTTGGTCCTCTTAACCAAGTGCTACCTTCATGGCTTAGCTCTGCTGTCTTTCAGTCTGTGAGTTTCACTTCTGGTTGGTTATTGGCCAAATAAATTGCCATTTGGTAAGTTAGGAGTGAAACAAAGGATGTTGGTAAGGGAAAGGGGCTAAGAGGAAATGGTGATTAGCACTCACCTGCTTCAGTAAACATCCCTGCTTGATAATGACCCCTCTGAATTCTTCCTTCAGAATCACATCATCATCACTGGAATTCTCCTCACAGAAGAACCCACTGTCTGGCTGTGGGAAAAGCACAGAGAGCAAGCTGACTTTACCAGTGGCAGAAATATTGCTACCTGTAGCATCCCTCTTCCTGCCAGCCAATAAAGCAGGCTTCTCCTTTTCTTTCTGGCTACTACACATATCCCAATATGAACCTTAAAAGTAAAAGTTGTTCTTGGTGAGCTAGTTTTCTCTCTTCCATTTTCCTGCTTCTAAATTCTGTTTCTTTTTTTGTCTCCCTAGTGTGATCCTACCAAAATCTTTTCATTTTGTAGGATACCCAGGCTATAGTCTAAGTAGGCCTCAATTTTCTTCACAATGCACATTTCTCTGCCTTCAAAGTCTTTCTTTCCTCAAGACCTCAGGGCTACCTCCTTGAAATCAGAATGACGCCATGCAATGGCACCATATGATTCCATGAAACACTTTCTGCATTGCAACCCTCGCCACTCAGCCTTTCTCCTCTGAGAAGACCAGGATTGCCTGTCCACTTCAACCCCTGAGATCTATGGGGAGTTGGGATGTACTAAGCTATAAGCAAGTGATGAATCATACAGAGGAGAGAGATTCACTGCTCTATTTTTAAAACAGAACCCTGAATTTAAATAGCTGTAAATAGCCAAATGAGAGGTCTGAAAAGAAAAAAAGGAGTAGCAACAGTGGAACTTCCTCAAAGTGAAATAAAACCCCAAGACATTCATTTTGTTTTTGTAAAAAGGATGTATCTCTTGAAAAGCTTCCTAACGTCCATATCCTGACCCATAATAGAAACAAAACTGCCCCCAAATCCCCCTAGAAACCCTTTCCTGCTGAAACTATCACATGGCCCAAACTGAGACCCAAATTGTGTAACACTGTTTCCCAATCTCTGGTAATCGTATCCCGGAAGTGTGCGCACAACCGCAGTCACATATTTTCATTGCCTTTGAAAAATTCAACCAGCTTGCCACACCTGTGACTCTATGGCCAGAACTTTTGCCTATTTTTATTGTCTTTTCACCACTCTGGCTTTAGTCTTCTCTGCCAACGCCAACGCTCACTCTGTGCTAGAGCCCAATATATTTGATGCATGAATTCTACTTAGAATTCTAGTTAGAATAAAGATAGTACAGCTTAAATGAAGTAAATGGTCTTTCCCTTGAAACTAATTTAGTTGGGCAGGGCAGAACAGGGCAGCGCTGTGGCAGGGACAGCTGTCAAGTGTGGGATGTACAGGTGTAGCGTATGCCTCAGGGGCCTTGGGCTTCATCACATGATTTGGAGGTGTAGAGTGTTTCCTCTTTCTCCCTGCCTGGGCTCTACTCAACCTCCTCCTCTCCCATCCAACTATTCTCTGCAGGGGTGGACATGCTCTGTACTCTCAGAATATTGGAGTGTCTACCCTGGGCAGCCCCCACCACAAGAAGAATAGCTGAGTGGATTTTCTCCCTTACAAAGTAGTAGAAGGCATCAGGATTGTCCAGAAAGGGGTTTTCAATGATTCCATCAGCTGCATTCTTAGACAGTTCACCAGCAGGCTGCAGGTACCCTTCACTGAGCAGCGATGAGGCAACCATCAGGCCTTCCTGACGATTCCGAACCGACTTGTTGGAAACCAGCCAGTCGATGACACTGCTACCTGAATGGGCCAAAAAAAAGGGGAAATTCACTCTCTTTCCCAAGGAATAAGTCTGGACACCACCCCACACTGGCTGCAGAGCATTGGAGCATGCAGTTTGTCTCATCTTTCCAGTCAATCCAAGAGGGAAAAAACCAAAAACAGTTAATGGCATGGATGTTTGGAAACAAAAGGTAAAGGGTTAAAAAGAAAATCCACATGCTACTTAAGAGGCCATTCGTGCATCAAAGAAATCAATCCACATATTTAATTCCTTATGGAACATATATTGGACCTCTAAGAGATATGGGTACTCTAATGGGTACCGTATGGGCATTTACTCAGGAAATCTAAAAGAGCCAGATGGTGGTAAATTGGTCTCATAACAGGCATTCTGCTACAAATCCATGCTGGGTGAAACTACTGGGTTAAATTTGAATTTTGAAAAGGGAGAGCGGGTAGAGTAGGACTCTGTCATACCTCTACCCTGTCAGGAAAAGGTTCATAAAGGAAGGGACGGCCTGGAGCCTAAAAGATGAATGGATATTTACAAACCTAGGAAAGACAGGGGATGAAAAGATTGGGCATAAGCATGATAGCAGTCGAAGAAACAGATGTCCATAGGCGGCAACAGCCCTAGGGAGATGAGGGAGGAGACCAGAGGAGGAAGATCCAAGTCCCTGGGCTGAGCTTTGATGGTGCATTAAGAAATCTGGCAACCAGGAGTCATTGCCAGCTTTTAAATAGCAGTAACATGATGGTCTATGTGTCCTAAATTTAAGTGTAATGACAGTACTTGTATTTGTCATCACCTCTTTTCATGGTCCTTTAATCAATATCTTGCCTCAAAATAAGACTAGCAAAAGGAATAAAATGTAATAAATCCAGCAGTTTGAGCATTAGCAGGCCAAAAGAAAACTCTGTATTTATTACAGTGATTTTTTTACAAACGTAGCTAATAGGGGCAGAGCACACTGGCTCATACCTGTGTTCCCAGCTACTTGGGAGGCAGAGATAGTGGGACTGGGTTTAAGGCCAGCTTGGGTAAATAGTATGACATTCAAGGACAAGCAGAGCCAGGTGCTGGTACTCCTAGCTACTAGGAGACTAAGATCTGAGGATCGTGGTTTAAAGCCAGCCAAGGCAGGAAAGTCCATGAGACTCTTATCTCCAACTAACGACCTGAAAACCAGAAGTAGAGCTGTGGTTCAAAGTGGTAGAGCACTAGCCTTAAGCAATAAATCTCATGGACAGGGCCCAGCCCTGAGTTCAAGCCCCAAGACTAGAAAAAAAGACAAAAGGACAAACAGAGCAGGCAGGAGGCAGAAATAAGAGACCTCTCACAAAGGGAGATTCTACCTAGAATATAGTAGAAGCAAAATAAAGGGGTTGGCACTATGGCTCAGGTGGCAGTGTTTGCCTAGCAAATGTGAGACCCTGAGTTTAAACTCTAGTACCACCACCACAAATAGTAAATTTATAAATAAATAGCAGCCAGTGACAGACAGTCACTCAAGCAAGAGCACTTGGTTATGCCACCTTTGAGCTTGTGGTATGTGAGACTCCTATGAATCCTAGAAATGAAAAGTTTTTGCCCACTACCTTTTAAAAAAGATTATTGTAAAAGTGATGAACGGGGGTTAGAGTACAGACTTATGTACTGTAATGAGTACATTTCTGTTTCAACAGGGCTACTCCCTCCCTCACCTTCTCCCACTCCCCACTCCCCACTCCTTAAAGTTTGTTTCCAACATAGTGTCTAGTGAGTATAATGGCTGCATTAGTTTATCCTTTGTCCTTCTGGTCTATGATCCCCTTTCCCTTCCACAGATCAGATAAGCTTAGATACAAAACAAATGCTACAGAAAACTAACACAGAAAGAAAAGCTAGAAATAACTGCATACAGGGCATAATAAGAATCTCTTGTTTCCAATTCTTGCAGTTCATTTTGATATGCTTCATTATATATGGTCCTATGCACTTAGCGATTGGGCTATTGTGATCCCCTGCTAAGAATAACATAGACATATTCTAGTTATTACAAATGAGGGAAACCATAAAACCTATATTTCTTTGGACCTGGCTTATTTCACTTAATATAATTTTTCAGGTCTTTCCATTTCTTTACAAATGGGGCAATGTCATCTTTCTGATGGAAGCATAGAACTCCATTGTGTATATAGACCATATCTTCTTGATCCATTCATCTACCAAGGGACATCTGGGTTGGTTCCATCCTTAGCTATGTTAAATAATGCTGCAATGAACATGATTGTGTTGGTATTTTCCCACTTTCTTTCTCTATAAAGATAAGTTAATGGCAGCCATTATTTTGGCCATTAGGAAAACTTGTGGGAGGAGGCACTGTTTTGTTTGTTTGTTTGTTTGTTTTGCTGGTCTCACAGTCTTTTCCTACATGCACTGCCTTCAAACTGTGATCTCAGTCTCCTGAGTAGCTAGAAGCCACAGTGCCCAGCTGGACAAACTCTCATAGCCCCAAATTAGTCTCTCTCTCTCTCTCTCTCTCTCTCTCTCTCTCTCTCTCTCTCTCTCTCTCTCTCTCTCTCTCTCTCTCTCATCTAAAACATTCTTAAAGAAATCTTTTTCCAGGGAACAGCTAACACTAAGCAAAAGGCAAGAAATGTACATACTACTCTAAAAGGAAGAAATAGTTGTATTGTCAAAGCTCATAGAATTCACAAATTTTATAGACCACAGTAATGACAACTTGCCTCATGAAGGTTAGAATGTGTGACTTTAACTATTACTATTTCACAATACTGTGACATTTATGAAATTTATGTAATCAATCACAATAAAAATCATAATCCTTCCCCTGTTGCCCCTTTCAGGAAAGCAAATTCTCCTACCTGTGAAGCAGTGATTAAATATCTTCTTGTCCTTCTCCAGATTCAGTTCTTTTACTCCCTTTTCAGTGTCTTTCATGGACAAATACAAGGCACTGCACAGAGATAAAAACAGATGGATAAATGGGAAGCATTCCAGAATGGCAAGGTCTCCCTGCCAGTTGCTACCTTGGAGAGTTGCTCTGAGAACAAACTTTGTTTCTTCACTTCTTGCTGGCCTCTGAACTTAATCTCTGCCAGTCTATCAGTGGTACTTTCATTTGCACAATGCTGTGCATTCAGTAAAATGTACTAGGAAGGTACTTAGTATGCCTTAGACTCATTTCGCTCTTTGTTGATTGAATTTCTAGTGTCTGAATTGGAGAGTCACTCTCAGTTAAGGTCAGTTCTCCAAGAACAATCAAGATGTTTAAGATACCTGCTACAGTCTGGATCAGGAATGCCCCCTAAAGACTTAGTGTCAAGCTAAGACTTGAGACTTATTGGAAGATGGTAGAAACTAAAAGGTGGAGCCTAGTGGGAGTTATTTTGGTCATTGGAAGTATGTTCTTTTTCCCCTCTATCCTGTCTTAATGATGATGTGGACAGTTTTGCAACACCATACACTCATATCAGGATATGCTACCCCGCCATAATCACCAGAGACCTAAAAACAATGGGTGCAACAGACCACAGACTGAAGCTTTCAAAACTGCAAGCCAAAATTATCCATTGATTATCCTATACATATCCTAGGTACTTATTACAGTAATAGAAAGCCAATGCAGTCCCCCAATCCTTTAAATGTCTTCAGGAGAGCATCTGTTGTAGACATGGCCTCCTAGAAAGTTAAGATCTTCCCATCACTTATCTAAAAAAATGATGAGATAAGGCAAACAATACTGAGGAGTTCTTGTTTTTATCCTGGGACTAGTAAGCCAAAAGTAGCCTATCTGAGCATTCCAAGCAACAGAACAGAAGACCATTTTCATAAATCCTTTGGTTCTATGTAGTTTGAGCATCCTTCCCACTTAGGTGTGACAGCCATGACTAGGATTGAGCTCCCTTGATGGCCTCATCTAGCAGCTGGAGCTGGACTAGCTATCTCCTCTAGGGTCTTTCTCGAAAACATCTGTAGTGAGGGAAGCTGTATTCTCACTCACAAACTGCCTTCTTAAGTCACACCCAGTCCTGTGTACAGAAGGTGTATCTCTATTCCCTCTCATGGAATTCTTCTCAATGGGGTTTCTGTTTCAGGGTACATTTAACATAAAAGCAAAATCATTAGGGAGAAAGAGATTTCCTGGAGAAAGCAGCCTGTGACAAGAAAAGAGATGAAGTGTACAGGAAGGAATTTTCCTCCCAACTCCAGTCAGGGGCTGAATTTCATGGCCTCTGATTACTTTTAGGTGATAGATGATCCCTATAGTTCCAACAGAGGCAGTATCAGAGGTCATTCACTAGGTCAGGAAACAAATGGCTTCCATCTAGAATGGTTGTCCACTGGGCTGGCCATTCTTATGAGTGAACCTGAACTTGTGAGTGAATTTGAACTTAAAACCTTGCCTGTGTAAACACATAGCCCCTACATTCTCCTTGCTACCTAGATATCCTAAAACTGTTTCAAAACTAACTTCTAAGATGGGTGCCGGTAGTTCATGCCTATAATCCTAGCTACTCAGGAAGCTGAGATATCAGGATCTCAGTTCAAATCCAGCCTGGGCAGGAAGTCCATGAGACTCTTAGCTCCAATTAATTTCAGGAAAAGCTAGAAGTGGTGCTATGGTTCAAGTGGTAGAGCGCTAGCCTTGAGCAAAAGGAGCCCAGGAACAGTAACCAGGCCTAGAGTTCAAGACCCAGTACTGACCAAAAAAAACTATTATATCTACTTCATAAACAAAAAGAAGAGTCCTCTCTCTCTTCCTCTATCTCTGTCTCTCTCTATATCTTCTCTGCCCCCATCTCTCTCCCTCTCTCTCTCTCTCTCTCTCCCCCAATATGAGGGAACTAATACTATAGTAGCTTCTCTCCTCAGCTCCTAGGCCTTTTTCAACCCTGGGCAAACATCTCAGTCCTCCATGTGCCAGCTCCTCCTGGGTACCAACTTCAGAGGTGGCCAAGGTAAACCTTGGAGAGGGAAGAGAGAGCGAGAGAGGAAAGGAAGAAGTAGATAGAAGCAAACACACACACACACACAAAAAATCACCCTAAGTCAATGGTTTCTGGCAGACGAATGGACCTCCTTGTGGATTTCCTTGCAAACTTCTGGCCCCCTTCAATGCATTTAATGGCCTTCTTGATGTCCCGCACCCAAGCATCTCTCTCCTCCAGGAAGGCTGCCTGGAAGAAGTGGTCCTGCTGCTTGGTCGTAGTGATCTTAAACACAAACTGGAAATGGAAATATGTCCTATTAGAAATGACCTTTCAAGGGCCAAGGCCTTTCATGAAGTAGAGTAATTGTTCCAAATCCATTCTAGCAAACAGCCACCCAAATGCAAGGAAAGGCTGATCGTGAGAGCATGGCTCACCTGCAGGATAGCAAAGGACACAAGGTTGGTTCACCGCAGCTAATATGTCAACTCACCATCCTTTTGCCAAAGTCAAGACAGGGACTAGTCAGAGCACTTCCTTTCAGGGGGATCATTCCTTTGGGGCTGTTGTCACTTTTCTTTTTATAAAATTCAATCCCGTCTTCTAATAGTACAACCCACATGGGTTTCCAGGTGTTAAACATGCTCCCCTGTAATGACAAGAAGGCAGTACTGAGAGGCAGAAGGCTATTCACCAACCATATATTCTAACAGAACAGATTGTATATTTTCTTAGAGTTATCTTTTTTAAATGTTTTGTAACATCTTCTCTGTCAGTGCAGCAATAAAATCGCTCATATTAATGGCTTTGGGGGATACAATTCTACTCCCAACTCCAAGGCTTTTGTTCAGCCAGCTCCCAGTCTCTAACATTTCCAACTTTCTCTCTTGACTGACCTCTCTCCACCCTACAGGCTCACTCAGCTTAACCCCCTCATGGGTGAAGACTTCCCAAACTGCACTAACCCATCCAACAGCCATCTCAACCACGGGCATGGAGAAAATGGTAGTGGGGGTGCATGTCGTGTGGCTTCTATCCCTTGATCCAGTCAGATTTCAGCTGAATATGGATGTCAAGAAGAAACTCAGGCAACAGCCTGGTGTGGGGGGTGCTACTAAGATCTAGGAAAGTCACTCCCAAACCCCTCTATAACCACTTCAGTCCACCCCTGGGGAAGTCATTAAAAAGGTTTTTTGTGGGTTAATGTCAACTGCCCCATTGCAATAAAGTAACAATTCTGAATAGACTTAAAAGGTCTAGGACTCTGAAATAGGAAAAGTTTAAGGTTCTTGGCTTCTATTCTTTGGTCTATGTTGCTATCCTGTCATGACTACCACAAAATTGAATTATCATCCAGTCCCCAGCAGATCCTGCTGGCTTATCTCAAAACACAAAGGCCCTCTATGTAAGGCCCAGCTACCCAAAAGGAAGACTATGTAAAAGAGGATAAATATTTATGGACAATCATTTCACTTGTCCAAACATTTCCTTTGTTCTAGGTCCCAAAATAATTCTTTGTTTTTTTCTAAAACACACTATCTTTTGCTGTCTGGGAAGACACTTAATCCAGACCAACAATAAATTATTTTCCCTTTTCAAAAAACTGTACAAGGTCAGACAATGTGAACACATAGAATAATTTTAAGCAAATTGTTTTCTATTTTACATCTGAGAGAGATTTGCATCCAGAACATAAAGAGCTCCTGTGAATCAATAAGTAAAAAACAGATCAAATTTAAACTGCACACAAAGTATTTGAAAAGGCATGTCATTAAAGAATATCTTCAAAAATCCCATTAAAAAGTGTTCAACTTCATTATGTTGAAAATAATGGGGCACAAGTTCAAGTCTAGCTAGAGTATACCAACTAAATTATCAAACATTTAGAAAGCTTAAGAAGAGCAGAAACTCCTATAAGTGGAAGGCAAGGATAAAAAACTTTCCTTACTTGGAAAAGTGTGAGTCTATACTAAAGCTAAACACAGGCATGCCCTGTACCAGCAAGTCCACAATTGGGCACACATCTTAGAGAAACTATGCGCTTTGCCAAAGAGGTGATAAGCAAGACTATATTAATAGCGTCCTTATCCATACTAGCCAAATGGAAAATACCTCAAATGCCTATAACAAGAGAATGGGTCGATAAATTGTATAATGCAATGTACAATGCAAATATAGTAAATTCACACCAGAACACAGCTCGTAGTTTAAAACTGAACATTGGTAGTTGCAATATTACAGACACAATTCATAGATGTCATATTGAGCAAAACAAAATTTTAGGTAGTTGGAATGTAATTTCATGCATAAGAAGTTTAAGGAAACGCAGAATTGGTCATATCAGAAGTATAATAATGATTGCCTAGCGTAAGTGTATAGAGTAGGCAGAAAACAGAATCATACTGGTTCTATCATTTGTGTGTGTGTGTGTGTGTGTGTGTGTGTGTGTGTGTGTGTGTGTGTGTGCTTGAACTCATGGCCTCACATTCTTACTCAGCTTTGTTATTCCCAACTGGTGCTCTGTCAGTTGCATCAGGCCTCTAAATGGAGATGAAATCTTACAGACCTTGGTACCCAGTCTGGCTTCAAACTTCAGTCAGGTCTCAGCTTCCTAAGGAGCTAGCATTCCAGCCATGAACTGCAAGCACTCAGCTCAATGCCTCTACCTTGATCTCTGTGTAGTAGACATGATGTGTACAGATGTAAAAATTATGATATAGGTCATGTGCATGCCTGTCATTCCAGCTATGGAAACATACATAAGATCACTCCAGCCAGCTCAGTCATAAGTGCAAGACTCTATTTGAAAAATAACTAAAGCAAGAAGGGCTGTGGTGTGGTTGTAATGGTAGACCAGCTGAGGACCCAGCCCAAGGCTCTGAGTTCAGACCCCAATGTTGATCATGAACTCCATGGACATAAGACACAATGATCACGATAATATCACCCTCCAAGTTACTTCTATTAATGAGAATTCCATCTTAGTTATTGCTCTCTTTCAGCCATGCCACATATGGTCCTTTATTAGTAGATATTTTGTTTTACTTGGTATTTATTTTTTACCTGTTTGTTTTGAGATAGAGTCTTGGTAGCCTAGAATTCAGTATGTAATTCTTCCTGCTCAGCCTCTGGGAGATATATAGATATCTATATATATATAGAGAGAGAGAGATATCTATAGATATCTATAGATATATATCTATAGATATCTAGATATTTAGATATAGATATAGATATCTATAGATATCTAGATATACCTAGATATACCTAGATATCTAGATATAGCTATATATATAAGTATAGATAGATAGATTTATATATAGATATATATAGATGTATAGATAAAAATCTAGATATCTAGATATATATATATATAGAGAGAGAGAGAGAGATACCACCATGCCCAGCTAATCAGAGACTTTTGAAAAATAACTATGAAGATATAATTAAGTTACCTGGGGTTATTTGGATGTAAAAGACACATTAGATAATATCATTGTGTAAGTGTTACATTTCTTGGGTATGATCATGGCATCGCAATTATATAGGAAATTGTCCTTGTTCTTAGAAGGCATATGAGAAGTACTTAGGAATGTCTCCGTACAAGATAACTGATTGTTTAGCCGGGCGCTGGTGGCTCACGCCTGTAATCCTAGCTACTCAGGAGGCTGAGATCTGAGGATCGCGGTTCAAAGCCAGCCCGGGCAGGAGAGACTGTGAGACTCCTATCTCCAATAAACCACCAGAAAACCGGAAGTGGCGCTGTAACTCAAGTGGTAGAGCGCTCGCCTTGAACTGAAGAGCTGAGGGACAGCGCCCAGGCCCAGAGTTCAAGCCCCACGGCCAACCAAAAAAAAAAAAAAAAAGTGATTGTTTATTCAAAGAGAGAAAAAGAGAGAGAGAGACAGAGACAGAGACAAGACAGGGACAGAGAGAGACAGAGAGAAACAGAGAGAGAGTAGAATGTGTCCATTATTACCAAAAATGAAACTAGGTAAAGATTACATGATTAACAGTACTAGTCTTCCCATTTTCTGTTTGACTTTTTTAATAATTATGAAAATAAAAATATTTGCACTATATGGCGTTATTTCATATTAAAATTTTAGTATGTAAATTTTAAAGAAATACATTGTACAGACAAATTTGGTTTAATAAACACAATTAACTGGAAATAAGAAAAATGTACGTACAGAGATACAGGAATAGAAATTGACTAGATGATCCCCAAATCCCTCTCAAACCTAAGATTTTACATATAACCATAGACTTGTCAAGATTAATACCTTCTACAGTTCCTCGGGGTACTTGGCCTTCTAATGAGGATAAATTGGCACAAGTCTACCTGTCTAAATGAATCTGTGTTCTTCTTCAATTGTAGCCTTAGGGACTGCCAGCTAACTTCACAGAATGTGTCACTGGAGATTCAGGGTTATTATGAAGAGCTTTCTCACCACTCTGGTAAGGAGAAATAAAGGAGGAGGCAACAATGCTTGATAAGAAATGTACTCATTACCTTGCCCATGTAATTGTAACCCCTCTGTACGGTATTTTCACACACACACACACACACACACACACACACACACACACACATATATATATATATTCTTGAACTTTCTTTCAGACTTGGCCATAGTGAGTCAGGTTAGGTGGTAGAATGCTCTGTTCCCTCAAAAACTGTGTCAGCCACCAATTTTCACTATGGAAATTTGTAGACACCTCTTCTAGGCCATGACTATGTATTTTCTTTTCTGGCTTCATCTTCTTGGTATTTACTCAAAAGTAAACCTAGAAGTGTACATAAAATGTTCGAGTTGGGGAGGAATTTAAGATCTTCCTCAACACTTCTACTATATAGGTTTTTTTAAGCTGGGTGCCTGTGGCTCATATTTATAATCCCAGCTGCTCAGGAGGCTGAGATCTGAGAATCACAGTTCAAAGCTAGCCCAGTAGGAAAGTCTGTGAGATTCTTTTTCCAAGTAAACACCAAAACACCTGAAGTAAAGCTGTGACTCAAGTGGTAGAACTCTAGCCTTGAGCAAAACTACTCAGGAACTGTACCAGGTCCAGAGTTCAAGCCCCAAAATTAACTAACTAGCTAACTTTCTCTCTCTATCTCTCTCTGTCCCTTTGTCTCTCTGTGTCTCTGTTTCTCTCTGTCTCTGTCTCTGTCTCTCTCTCTCTCTCACACACACACACACACACACACTCACACACACGCGCATGCACATACAGAGTTCCAAATAGGTATGTGACCTAAATCAGCCAATCCATGAAAAACTAAAACCAGAATCTAGGTCTCTTGATTCCTGGTTCATGCTGCTTCCTTCCTCTCAGACACCATCTTCATCTCTTGGATAATTTTGAGTAATTCTAGAATATAGATCAATTTCTTTATAACCATTTAGCTATCTACTTCACTTTAATGGAGATTACATACCCATAAATGGAGCAACAGATAGATGTAGGTCAAATAACCATTATCCAAAATAATATATTGGGCCTGCACTTTGATCATGATAAATTTGGGAGATGGAACTCAAATAAGAAATTCTTGGAACTGGGAAGGTGGCTCAGCGGTAGAGTGCTTGCTTCACATGCATGAGGCCCTGGGTTTGATTCTTCAGTACCACATAAACAGAAAAG